CTCCTGTTTCTGGCTCCGGGGGAGGGCCCCTGTTTCCGGCCGCTGCTGCAGCCCTCCCGGGTCCGCCGCCTGCTGGGTCCGTCGAGGGGCGTGCGGGTCGGCGAGGCGCAGCTCCCAGGCCCGCCAGGGCAAGGAGACCGCCCGAGTCCGCCACAGCGCTGGAGCGCGAGCTGGCGCGGCCTGCTTGCGTGCACGAGGCTCGCATTCCCGTTGCGGAGGTGGAGTCGACCGCGAGCGCGGCTCGGGCGCGTGGCATGCAGCTGCACGCGGGCCCCGCCTCTGGTGAGCATCTGCTTGCCGCTGCGCGTGCGCCGGGCCGCTGTGCGGTCCGGGCGGAGCCGATGGTTGGTCTCTCCGGGCGTCATCCTGGACGGCGCCAGCATCTCGCCGTTTACCTCGGTCCTGGTTGCGCAATTCATATTTTCAATTTCTACGGATGCGCGTGGCCTCGGTGGGGCGCCAGCGCTCTTAGCCGGCGACCTCAACCTCAGCCTCCGCGACTGGGCTGAAGGGCCTGCTGGGGATTGCAGGCTGGCAGGACCTCCTCGCCGCCGCCGTCCCCGCGTGCATCCTTTCGCATGGCGCCCACTCGAAGGTCGACTACGTCCTGGCCAATAATGCCGAGGCCCAGGCGCCGGTGACCAGAGTCGGGCTGCATTGGGACCTGGGGCTGGCCACGCATGCGGCGATGCTAGTGGAGCTGTTCGTCGCCAGCGGGTCGCTGCCCTTGATGGTCGTGCCGTGGATGGCTGGAGTGCGGAGGCGGTGCGTACGACCGCCGCGGCTGTGCGGGCCAGCCGGGAGGAGCTCTCCAGAGCGTTCCAGCAGCTTGGCATCAGCTACGTGCTGCCATGCGGGAGTGGCTGGCGGTGCATCGCGGGCTGCCGGCCGCGCCGGAGCGCCCGCGCTCTGCGCCAACTTGGGGGACTGACCGCCACCCACCTCCGGCGGCGGTGGCAAGGCGGCGGATGTCGTCGCCGATGCAGCGCTGCTCTGGCCCCGGCGGCTGCGCGGACCTCAGCGGGCGCGCCAGCGCCCTGGGGAGGCGGCCCTTCGCGTCGCGCAGTCCACGCTGGCCGCCCTGCGCGCCGCCGACGCGACAGATGCGACCTGGTCGCAGAACCTCGCCGTGGTCTCGGCGGCGGGGGGCCCCCCGCAGGGCGCGCTGGAGCGCGCGGAGGGGGCGCGGCGCGGCAGGCCGGCGTCGCTGGCGGGGCGCGGCGCCGCGGCGGCCGGCGGCAGCGTGCCCGCGATTGTTTGACGAGCCGGCAGGGGCGGCTCTACTGTGGATCCGTGGCGGGGGCGTTGGGCGCCGCGCTATAGGTGCCCGACCCGTCCGTCGCGAGCGCGCCGGTGGCCGGCAAGCGCTGTTCGCTGGCCCTTCGCGGCGGCCCCGCGGCGCAGCTCCACTTCTCAGAGGGCCCGTGGCGCGAGTGGTGGCGGCGGCAGCCGCGAGCGGCGCTCGGGGAGGAGTGGCTGCGGGAGTTGGGCGGCCTCCCGCCCGTCCCGCGACGCGCGCCCTCTACCGCGGGCCTTGTGGCGGGCATCTTGCGGCGCGGCGCGTGCCGAAGGATGACAATATAATGATAATGAGAAAATGAGAAGAATAAGGAGAAGAATAAGAATAATAATAAGAATAAGAATAAGAAGAAGAAGAAGAAGAAGAAGAAGAAGAAGAAGAAGAAGAAGAAGAAGAAGAAGAAGAAACCCAGGCTCGACGGGCGGGCCGACAGCTAGCTCCGCCTTCTCCCTGCGGAGCAGACCTCTTGGAAGAGGCGGGGGCCAGCCCCGCGAGCTCGCCGGGCCGGGGGGCTTACTGCTCCCCGAGCCCGGCGCCAGAGCTGGGCCCCTCGACCGGCGCCCCGTCTGGCTGCTGCCCATGGCGCACCGCGTGTGGGCCGCTGGGCGCGCGCGCGCGCGCCTGTTCGCGCAGAGGCGGCCGAGCTGGGGCGGCGCTGCGGCGTGCCGCGCCCGGGAGGAGCTGGCCTGGGAGCTGGTCTTGGAGCTTGAGGCAGCGGGGGCCCCAGCTGACAGCCTCGCTGGCGCCGCCCGGGATTGGCGAGAGGCCCACGACCGCGTCGATCTCCATTCCCTGCCGTCTATCCTGGGGCAAGCGGGGGCGCCGAAGTGGGCGGTTCAGCCAGCTATGGCGGCGTGCACCGCGCGGCGGCGGGTCCTGGTCGGCAGGGCCATCGGCGATCCTTGGGCGCCCTTTGGTGGCATGCTGCCCGTCTTCCACTTAGCCGTCTGCCTCCTCGGCGTGCTCGAGCGGCCCTGGCGTCGTCGCGCGAACGCTTTCGAGGACCGTCTCCAGCGGAGGGTGCACGTTGACGACTTCATTCTGATCTCGCGGGCCAGGGCACGAGGCGGCCGAAGTCGGTGAAGCGATGTGGGAGGTGCTCCAGCTGGCGTCGCTGTTTGAGGTGGCCATGGACTGGCGCCGTCACAGAGACAAGAGCCGCATATCACGAACCCAGCCAGCCTCCGCAGATGGCTCCACTCGAAGACCCCCGAGGTCGCGGCTGGCTGTGGCGTTCGCGACTTTGGCGTGGTGTCCACCGCAGGGCGGGCGCGTCGCCGCGCGGTCGCTGGCGCGCGAGCTCAGACAGCGGCGGGGCGTGTCACCCGCATTGCACGATTGCCGGTGGGCTTCCGGCAGAGATGCCTCCTCGGCGCTGCCGCTGGCGCGTCTGCGGGCATCCGCGGCGCCTCGCGCAGCCGCCCCTCCGCGAGCGATATGGCCAGCCCGCGGGCGGCTGCGCGCCGGGCCGTCTGACGGGGAAGGCCGCGCGCCGCCGCCGAGGTGATCTTCGGCCTGCTCAGCCCGAGCTGGCGCCTCGACCCTGCCGCTGTTGCCGCCCTAGCCCCGCTGTGGCAGGCGGCCAAGGAGCTGCGCCGCCGGCGCTTCCCGCTCCAGCTCTGGCGCGACGTGGCGGGCGCCGTAGGCGCCAGGCACGGGCGGCAGCAGGGCCCGTTCGCCGCTGCCAGGCGCAGCATGGCTATCGACCTGGGCCTTGGAGACGACATCGCGCTCTGGCAGGGAGTCTCGTGGGCCCCCGGCGGCAGGCGGCCGCATGCGCCGCCCGTTGCAGGACACTCAAGCGGCGCTGCTGGGCGCGCGGTCGCGACGCGGGGCCCGCGTGCTGGCCTGGCGGCGTGCCGACCTCGGGCATGTAGGCGGCGGCGTCGACCGCTGGGCCGCCCGCCGCTTGCTCGAGAGCGAGGAGCTGGCGCCTGGCGCGGCGGGGGCCCTGCGCGCGGTGCTCACTGGCCACGTCATCGCGCAGACCGTGGCCGCGAAGTGGGGCAGGCACGCGCGATGCCCGCGCTGCGGCGCCGCGGCGGACACCAGGGAGCACCGCTTCTGGGAGCGCCCCCAGTGGGCATCGGCTCGCCGCGCCGAGCTGCAGGCCGCAGGTCAGAGCCAGGCAGCCCTGTTCGCGCGTCTGCTGACGGGGTGCTGCCGCTGGGCTCGCGCCTGGCCGCGCTGGCAGCGCAGGCCAAGCATGAGCTGCCACCGCCCCCGCTGCCGCCCCTGGCAGCCCTGGCAGCTGGCCTCCGGCAAGCTCGGCTGCGGTCCTGGGGCGACGGCGCCTGCGAACACCCCGCAGACCCTCTTTGACCAGGACAGAGTGGGGCCCCTGCTGGAGAGGGCCCGACGGCGTGCTGTGGCGCCGCGGCTGGCCCGTGGGCGGGCCCCACACCGCGCGGCGGGCCGAAATCGCTGCGGTGGTTCATGCGGGTTTGCGGCAGTGCGCGCTCGCGCTTTTCCCGCCGAGTGGACGCGCGCGGGCCTAGGTTTTGAGGCCGCGCTGCGAAAGCGGCTTCATCGAGGCGCGCAGGGTCAACGGGATCACCGACCAGTTGGCGGGCGACGCCGCGCGCGCGCCTGCTTGCCCGAGCGCGCGCTCTGCGTCGGGGGGCAGATGCAGCTGCGCGCGCTTCGCTCCCTGCAGCGGCTGCCGGCCGCCGCGGGGTTGGCCGCGCTGCGCGTCAACTGCGGCGGCTCCGGGGCGGCGGGGCCCAGGGCGCGGGGGCGCCGGGCGGGCGGCCCGTGTCAGCGGGCGGCGCGGCCCAACAGGCAGCGGGCGCAGCAGCAGCAGCATGCGCCTGCGGCGGGCCCGCCGCCGCGGTGGCGGCGGCGCGCCCGGCGACCGTGGGCGGTCGGCCAGGGCTTTCCGCAGCGCGGCGCCGCCGCGGCCGCCCGCGCCCTTCTCGGGGCCGACGCGCTGCTGCCTCGCGCGGCGGCGCTCCTCCCGGCGCCCGCCGCGCGGGCGGGGGGCAGCGAGGCGGGCTGGCCCGCGGCGCGTCGCAGGCGGCTGGAGGCGCGGCCGGGGCCGCCGGACTAATGAGGCTAGTGCGGCGCCGCCCAGGATTACTCAGGAGGGAAAAAGACACACAGACACAATTAATCGTCGATTCCCAAGAAAATATGAGAATCTATTGGAAGTGTGGGGGGGGGAAGAAAAACCCAGAACATATATGAAAATATGGTAAATATTTTCATTTGTGGGTATTTATTTGTGTGTCCTGGGGCCCCTTCAACTACGTCTGCCTGTTTCACCTGCGCCCCTCCCCCCCCTCCTCCTCCCCTCCCCCCCTCCCCCCTGCTGTGTCGCCACGGGGCTCGCCGGCGCTTGTAAACAAATGTGCTCTGCGGTCGCGCCCATCTTGGAGGAAAACAAGTGTACGGGTGCATCTGATATCGGCGGTCAGCCTGGGGGGAAGTGAGAGGGGGCGGGCCTTCTCAGCATGCTCGGGAGCCCCCCAGCCTTGCGAGAAGCTTTTGAAGCTTCCCCGAAGATACAGACAACTTCTCAGAAGGCTGGACGGTGTCTGAGAAGCCCCGCCGCCGCCTCGCTCGCCGCCGATACACGGATGCGTTGAAACAGGTCGCAGTTGTCAGGCGCTTCGGGTCGCACCGCCGCCTTTCGCTCCCGTCGTGCACCTCGCAGCGGCCGCGCAGTTTGCGCGCCACGTGAAGCCCCCAGCCCGCCCAGGCCGCAGGCTTGAAGGGGGAGCCCGCCTCGCGCGAGGTCGGGGGCGCGGCCTGCGAGAAGGACGCGGGGGCCTGGGGGGGGGGCCAGTGCCGTTTAGCCGACCCGTATCCATACCAATCCCCATCCCGAGCCCGACGATCTCAGCAGTCCAGTTGGGGATCTACCCTTCGAAACTTGAATGGAACCTGTATCCCCATCTAGGGGGGTAAGTCGGCCAGCGGGGCCCATGCCACGCCCAGGGGGATAGGGATCGGTTGAACGATGCTCACCGGGGGGGGGGGGTCTTCCGCTGGTGCAATGTCCGAAGACAAGCAAGGGGAGCCCCCCCCCTCGCTGCCTCGCTTGCTCTTCGCTGCTTTTTCGGTTCCTGCCCCTTGCCCTCTCTGGGTGCTGGCCATAGTCGCCAGTTTCGATAATTCCTGGGGGTCCAGTGGGGTGATGTTTTCTCTCCTTCGAGCTGTGCGACTGTCGCGCAAATTCAGTGAGCCCTGCGTGGTTCCAGCGGGGTGACACCCAAACTGAGCCCCGCCGTCGCTGGGTGCTACCGATTGTGCATCGTGTAGCCGGTTTCGGGAGCTCCTGAGGGGTCAGCGGGGTACCGTCTTACCGGGACCGAAGCTGGAGCCCGCTTCGCTGGAAGCCGTCAGCCGCGCGTCTGTCGCCACTTGTGCAAGCTCCTGGGAGGTCCAGCGGGGCGACTTCGTATGTGGACCCGGGCTAGATTTCGCCCTCCCTGGGCCAGCTGGGTGCTGCCAGCTGCGCAGGTGTTGCCGTGAGCTCCAGGGGGTTACAGCTGGCAGCGGTGCTGCGCAAGCCCAAAGGAAGCTCCGTCCTCACTGGGTGCTGCCGGCTGCGAAAGTGCCGCCACTTGCGTGTGCTTATTGGGGTTCAGCTGAGCGCAGTTCTACGTGAACTCAAAGAAGGCCCCGCCCTCCTTGGGTGCTGCCAGCTGCACAAATGTCGTCACTTTCGTCAGTTCCTGGGAGGTCCAGCTTGTTGCGGTGAGATGCCTACACACACTGGACCTCTCTCTTCCTGGGGGCTCCCAACTGCGCAAATGCCGCATGCGGAGTGCAGTGTGACGGTGCCTCAAAGGAGACCTCGCTTCCTTTGGCGCTGACAGCTGCGCCATTGCCGCCATGTTCGTGAATCCTTGGGGACTTTTGCTGAATGCGGTGATTCGCAGACCCATGCGAGACCTCGTCTCCTGGGCGCTGCCAGCTGCTTAAAGCTCGCTTCTTTTTCGGGCTCTTGGGGGGCTCTGCTGAGTTTGATGCTACGCAGGGCCTAACGAGACTTCACGCTCCTGGGTGCTGCCAACTGCCCAAGTTTGCCGCCACTTTCATGAGCTTCTGAAGGGTCCTGTGGAGTGCGTTGCTTGACAGATCCAAGCGAGACCTTACCCGCGCCTTCCTGGGTACTGTCACTTTGTCGGGTCCTTTGGAGGTTCTGCAGAGTGCGGTGGTACGCATACCCAGGCGAGACATCGCTTTCCATGTCGCTGCCAGTTGCGCCAGTGCCACCATTTTCGTTAGCTCGTGGGGGGTCTTGAGGAATGCTGGGTGCAACCAATTGCGCAGTAGTCTTCGATTTCCTGAGTCCCTGGGAGTTCGAGCTGAGTGCGATCCCGAACGTGGACCCTTGCCATTGTCTTTCAATGCGTCTGTTGTGGTTGGGTTGGGTATGGCCCTGATCAAATCGCACTTGTGGGCAACTCGTACACCAATTGCCTAGTGCTGCACGATCCAGCATGGGTCCACTAGCAGCCGAACTATTTTTTGAGCACCACCGTGTAAGCGTGCGCGAGAAGGAGCCACAGGGCCACGCGCACCGGGCATCCGAATCGACTCTTAGCACCCACGCAACACGCGCGGATCACGGAGGGCCCTGGGACCACGAGTAGTCGAATCGACGAGGCCACAGAGCACCGAAGGACGAGACCGCGAACAGACGAACCGATCCCGAGACTCAGCCCCACCTTTCTTGAGCCCGGGGGCCCGCGCACCAGGGGCCAAGGGGGGTAGTCGGAGACGAGTGGCAGACTGAAGAGGTGACCAGGCGAGGGAGGGGATGAGAAGGTGTCGTCGGATGTGGCGGTGCAGGGGGAGGAGCGGGAGCAGCATGTGCAGTAGAATGAGGGGAAAGGGCAGAGGAGAACGAGGCACAGCAGGAGGAGGATGAGGAGTCTGAACAGAGCCATGACCAGGAGAAGGAGGGGGGACGAGCGGCAAGGACAATGAGTAGGAGGATGATGATGGTGAGGAGGAGGAGGAGGAGGAGGAGGAGGAGGAGGAGGAGGAGGAGGAGGAGGAGGAGGAGGAGGAGCGTTGGAGGCCCTGGAAGAGAAGTTGGTGGCGGTAGGGCAAGAAGGATGATGCCTGGGTGCCTGCGGCAAATCCGCCATCGCGCCAGCGAAGCCTTCCGTGTGGCGACCCCTGCGGCAGCGCCTAGGAAGGCCGGCACACACGGCAGCTCCTCTCCCCTCAGCGGGGAGCTCTCGTGGGGCCCCTCGGAGCCGTCTTGGGGCTGTCTTGGGCTCCTGTGGGGCAGTCGTTGGGTCCCTGGGGGCCCTGGGGCCACATCACGGCAGCGCAGACCAAAGGAGCAGCAGAGAGGACCACTTGGGCGGATCGGTGCAGCAGGCCTCAGCAGCACGGCGCATCAGCACTGCGTGGTACAGCAGCGCGGCACATCAGCCCGGCAAGAACTCATGGGAGCACGGCGGATCAGCGCGGCGGACCACAGCAGCATGGCAGACTAGCACGGCAGACCTTCCGTAGCCATCAGTGAGCTGGCTCGCGGGAGGCCCTCGGTCAGCGCGCGCCCCCTCGGCAGCTCGCGGACCTGCGCCAGAGGCCATGGACGCCCCCGCGGGGGGAGCAAGTGCTGGGCAGCGGCCAGCGCTTAGGACCCTAGCGCGGCAGCTCGGGCGCGAGCGCCGCTGGGCGCCGGGGCAGTCGAGGGCGGCCGCGCTGGCCCATCCCGGTCCCCAGCCCCTCGCGCCTCGCTGCTGGCGCACCTGGCGCCCTGGGGATGCCCTGGGCTGCCACCTCCTAGGCGTGCCGAGCCTAGGAGGAGGAGGAGGAGGAGGAGGAGGAGGAGGAGGAGGAGGAGGAGGAGGACCAGTGTAAACCCAAGGACATCAACGATGTTGAGATACACCCTCCCTCCAAGATCGCGCATCACAGGCCCCTACAAGGGGTCATTTCCACCGAGGGAAGTAAGTGCCTTATCGAGGGACAACTGTGTGAACATCTTGAAGCGTGCCAAAGCATCATTCTCAGGACCTCAACGCCACGAGCTAACCTGACTGTTACGTTCTGGCGATCTTGAACTGTGTCAGGACAACGTTCCCAGGACTTCAACACCTCGAATTAACGCAACTGTTGCACCCTGCCAGTCCAGAATCGTTCCCAAACACCGTTTCTGGTATATGAGAATCAGTGAAAGTCTTGCAACTGTGCAAACAATGTGCGCGGCGCTACGGCGAGAGCCACATTTTGGAAAGGAGCCGCCCTCAATCCGTGCATCTCTTCCATAGTTGTAGAAAGACTGCGTGGCGCTTAGGCGAGAGCCACATTTTCAAAACGACCCGCCCTCAATCCGTGCAGCTCTGGCAATTTTTTTAACGAATCTGAGCGGCGCTAAGGCGAGAGCCACATTCTGAAAAGGACCCACCCTCGATCTGTGAACCTTTAAAACATTTGTAGAATGACTGTGCGTGGCGCTAAGGCTAGAGCCACCTTGTGAATAGAGAGAGCGTGATCCACCGCTGCTTTACGGTGGAAAATTCCACCCCTCTTCTTCCGGAACCCGTGGTTCCGCCGCCCCCCCCCCCCCGAAAATCCCCCCCCCTGCTGGACCCCCCCCCTTCTCCCCCCTGGCAGAACCCCCCCCCTCCCGTAACCTACCCCTCCCCTCCTCCGGAAAACCAGGGGGGGTCACTACCGGTTCGACCCCCCCCCCCGGAAAACTGGGGGGATACCGGTTCGAACCCCTCCCCCCCCCAAGAAAACCAGAGAGGGCGGGCCGTTTTCAAAATGTGAATCTCGCCTTAACACCACCACGATTCGTCTAAAAAATGCCAGAGTTTCACAGAGGAAGGGTGGGTCGTATTCACAGAAAGAGCGTGTTCCACCGCTGCTGGCCGAAAACCGAGGGGGTCACTGGGGGCTCCTAACCCGTCCCCCCCCCCCCTCCGAAAAATCGGGAAAGGTCACTACCAGTTCGAACCCCCCCTCCCCGAACCCCTCGAAAACCGGGGGGCCCCGCCAGGGGGGGGGTCAATACCGGTTCGAACCCACCCCCCCTCTCTCGAAAACCGGGGGGGGGTCACTACCGGTTCGAATCCCCCCCCCTCGAAAACCGGGGGGGGTCACTACCGGTTCGAACCCCTTCCCCCCCCCGCGCTCACCGCCAGCAAACAATTCTGGGTCCCTACCACCGTCCGCACCACATCCCCCATTGCTGTCCCCAGCACCACTGTCCTCACCACCACTGTCCCCACTGTTCCCACCACCGTCACCACTGTCCTCACCAGTGCCCCCACCACTGTCGCACTGTCCCCACTGTCCAATCTCCCCACTTTCTCCACGGCCCCAACCACTTTCCCATTGTCCCCACTGTCCCACTGTCCCACTGTCCCCGCCGCTGTCCCACTGAGCTGTCCCACTGTCCCCACCACTGTCCCTACTGTCCCCACCACTGTCCCCACCTCTGTCCCATTATCCCACCACCATCCTCGCCACCGCCCTCACCACTGTCTCCACTACCACTGTACCCTCCACTGTCCCACTGTTTCCACCACATTCCCACTGTCCCCACACCACTGTCCCCACCACCACCGTCCCCACCACTGTCCCACTGTCCCACTGTTCCCACCATTGTGCCCCCTGTCCCCACCAGTGCCCCCACCAGTGTCTCACTGTTCCCACTCTCCCCACCATTGTCCCACCACGATCCCACTCTCCCCACTTTCCCCACGGTCCCCACCACTGTCCCACTGTCCCCACTGTTCCCGCCACTGTCCCACTGTCCCCGCCGCTGTCCCACTGTGCTGTCCC